GCAGAAGAAAAGCTTAGGTCTGTGTGCTCTTGCAGGGAACAAAGTGAAGTGCTAAGGGCAGAAATGCACTGAAGCTTTAATGTGAGTGCAGAAAGAAGCATTCATACACCAAAGAAATTCTGTGGTCTCTAGGAAATGTTTTATGAAACCTCCCAGTCTTAATCTGCTGGATGGCTGGGGAGAAAAGGGAGCCCACTGGAGAGCTCAGTATTTTTGTTTCCCAGACAAATATGCTTGAATTTGATGTTGCTTCCCCATGTCCTCTCTGGCAGGGTAGTGCTTCTCTTGCTGTGTTGCCCTGCTGGCTGTCACTGAGCTCAAGTCAAGGAAAGTCTCAGCATCATGCTGGGAAGAACCCAAAAATCCAACACCCGACATCTCCAAGTGCCAGCTGCCTACAAAATGTGACTGACGGCTGTGGCAGCTGGCACTGTGTCCCTTTGGGAACAATTCTCACCTTGTGCAGCTGAAACCAGCCCATGGCATCACCACTGTGGCACGTGGCAGAAGGTGCAGGGGAGCACAGGGCAGACTTTCCCTGGTGTTTCACTCCTACACCAGCTTGAGGCGTGCCCTGCAGACAAGACTTTGGAGCTGCAGTCCTACCCAGAGATGCAGCCATTAAGGGACAGTAATTTGGATTAAGCTGTAGAGCTCTGCTCTGACTGCAGCTCTTAAGTGAGCTTTCTTCATTCTGAATTGTTCCCAAGAACCCTTTTCCTTTCACATCCTTAAAAAGTGATCACATTATTCTTGGGCTGTTGCATATGGGCTCGAATGGAATTTCAGCTGCCTGCCTGACAATGATGAATGAATCAACTCCAAATCCCTTGATGTGGATCAGCTTTATAGCATAACAATAATATTGTTGTTTAACATTTATATTGAAGTAATACCGTGAGGAATCCCATCCATTCAGGGACCGATTTTGCTGAAACTGAACAAAACACACAGTGAAATAACAAGTCTTGTTCCAGAGACAAGGCTGTCTAAAAGACAAGCTGTAGCAGTGGAAGGAGACAAACAAAAAAGAAAAGGAGCAGAAGGATATAAATGACAGTTGCATCTTTGCAGAGCTTCACAAAACCTGGGTGCTGCTGAATTTTCTTGCATGGTTGATCTGCCATGTTGTTTCTAGATTTTGCTCATCCCTTTCCACTTTCATCTTCTTTACCTGTGCTGTCAAATAAACTCTTAAACCTCAGGTTTTTCCTGGCAAAGTTTGGAAAATATTGGAAAAGCAAATTCCCCATGACACTTTGTTATTACCTTTGGACCAAATGATTTTAGTTGGCTTTCTGTACCTTGGCATCTGTGTTCAAGCTTACTTGTGTGAATTCTTCTCTGCAAGATGTTTGTGAAGGTGCCTGTCAGATTCTTGACTTAGACCCAGCTGTGTTAAATCTTTTACATTCCCTCCCATTTCTCACTTTGTAATGTTTTCAAATTTGCAATTGGGCTTCTCTGGATATATATCTGTATATATTTATATATTTATTTATTTTTAACAGATCCATTCTTGCTGTTGTTCCTTGTGTCTGGCAGGGGAGAGATTTTAAATCACTCACCTATTTGGTTTAACTATTTTCTCTGGAGCCTACTGCAAATAAAAATATTTTTTATCTCATAAGTAAGCTCTGGGCATATATATGTCCATATATATGAAGGTGCTAACATACAGGTTAAAAAAAAATTTGAGCTCCTAGGCCACATTCCTTGAATCCCACATACCAAGGTCCTGTTATAAATCCTAACATTACTAGTTAGACATCATTTAGTCAAAGGATCTAAATACATAATTACTTTTTGGACAGCATTCTTCTAGCCTGGATGACTTGTGCCACATTACCTAACAAAATTCCTGTTACTTTGTGAGTTTTACTAAGTTGGAAGCATTGGGTGATTATTGTCTAGTAAAAAAAGGTCCATGTGCTAAATTTAAATGGCAAGGAAAAGTGAAGCATATAATATACTATAAATTACAAGCTGAGATAAGACCATGAATAATTTCAAATGATAAATGCTCTAATTTTATTTTCACGGGAAGAGGTTGAAACAAGGCTGTACCTTGCTCTGAAATGACACAATAATTGGAGTGAGTACAGGATTACTGCATTTGTCCTGACTTAACATTTCATCAGGATCAGATAGAACTAATTTAAATCTGTGTGCTGTTTGTCAGAGGCCTCACACTTGGGCTGCAGTGCCCTCTGCTCAGCTGCAGAATAGGTGCAGCCTTGGCCATTTTAGTATCTACCTGCAGTGAGGATGTTGCAATCCACATTTCACTCTGCTTTGGATCTTGATGATTTTACAGAGTCAGAAATATTTCTGGATTAACTAGGGAAGAGGGCTGTGTCTCTGCCAAGTGACTGTAGGATTTCTGCACTGCCCACTGGATTCCTGGCCAGCTCAAACACAATTTGTATATGAATAGAATGCTGTTATAGGGCTGGATTGCACTGAGAGGAAAAGCAAAACACCATGAAAAAAAACTGAGCAGAAGAACATTGAGAAAAATAAATATATACCACTAAATCACTAAAACTGGTGGCTGTGATTACTTGAGCGATATGTCAAAAATATATTTTGAAAAATGATGATGTGCCATTCTTGTGATGACTGCAGTGCTGAAGAAAAATGAAATAATGGGAGTAGGGGGATAAACTCCAAGAACAATTTTGCCTTTTAGAGCACATACCCTATCCCCCATGCCCAAGTTTGACAGTGTAGTCTTCTCAGAGATGCCTTTTGGCATCGTAAGCCTTAGTCAGGAAAACACTCAGTGGTGTCTGACAGAGTGTGCAGAAAGGGGAAATTCTGTTAGAGTTTATTGAATGATTGATGATAATTTAAATCCACTTCAGAAAAGCTGTTATGTTCTTGAATCATTTCTTGGCTAATGTGCTAATAAAAATGCATTGTATAACGCTACTGCTGGATTTCAAACAATTGAACAGCAAAAAGTTGCTTACTGAAGAATATTAGAGGTTCCTCCAGAAGACAGATATACGGTTGTAATTATGGTGGCAATGAAGTGGCCCTTGTTTACATTTGCAAAACAGAGGGAAACCTTGCAAAAATCTTTGGTGATTTCAGGGGTGAGTTGAGCATTTAGGAGGCAGTCACCTCTGCCCAGCCTCACTTCAGGCCCTGGGAAGGTCATGGAGCAAATCCTCCACTTCTGTGCACGTGAACAAGAAGTGAAAGAACCAGTGCAGGTTTATCCAGTGCAAAAAAGGCATTTCCTGGGTGCATTCTAGCACCAGATGAGTGCTTGTTGTTTACCTTGACATGAGCCCCTGGCACAATCTCTGGTGGTGTCGTGGTTGCAGCTGCCCTGGTGGGATATGGACAGCACAAAGTGATGAAGTGGATGGAGACTGACAGGACAGCTGGGCTCTTTTCAGAGGGGCACAGTGACAGGATGAGAGACAGTGGACAGAGGATGGAATGGGGAAAATTCAAACTTCATGTCAAAGATTGAATGTGTTTTTCCTCCATGAAGAGGGACAAACACTGGGAAAAAACTGCCTGGAGAAGTTGCTGTCTTCACCTCACCATTACGTACTCTGAGATTTGTCCCAATGTACCTCCTGTGCTCACAGGAAACTTCAGCTTTATATCTCTGAAGTTTCTACAAGAAACAGAGGTTTCTGTTGTCATTAGCAGCACTTAGAGAAGGATAGGGCTCTGAACAGAAGATGCAGGGCAATGGACAGGCAGGAAATGAGGCTGAACGGTTTAATAAAACGATTTTCAAATAAATTACCTGCAATTCTTTGTGACTCCAGCAAGACAAGCCCCCAAAGACACAAACTCTTCAGGAAGCAGAATTCATCTGGAAGATAATTTTCAAATGTCTCTGTTGCACAGAAATCCCCTTGCTCTTCCTGCCCACAGTGGTTATTCTTCTATTTGGGATTAGCTATTTTATTGTAAAATCCTGGCTTTGCCAAAGCTGTTTTTGCTATCAGTGTGGTGAGAACTTCTCTCTGGATTTTGGAACCCTTTGAAACATTTGTAGAGACAAATACTTGTTCAAAAGGAGAACCCTAAAAGACCAGAGTCATGCTTTAGTGAACTCTCTAGTTAGAGTATATTCCTAAATAAGAAGAAGTACAAGGGAACAACCTGTAAACTCAAATAATATCATTTACTTGGGTTTGATGGATGCGTTTTTCAGGACACTGCTGTGCATAAGAGGATTTGTTTTGGTTTTTTTCCCTCTAACAATGAATTTGGGGAACATGAATCTCTCACCTCTGTCTTTCATCTGCCTAATTTTACATACACAAAATAAATAAAAGCAATCAGAGAACCACAGGAACTGCAAGATAAAGTGGATGCTTATGTGTTTGGTTTGCCATCTGCTTTATTTTGGACCAAATACCTGTGTATTCAGTCCAAACCCACTGTGTGCATTTCTTTTATTATCCATGCATGCTGCTTGCCTCATATTTAATGATATTTTTGTTATTTTATTACAACTCTACAGATATGAATTAGGTAATTAAAACTCCTCCAGAAAAATTTTAACACCTGTTCTGTGCCTTAAATATTGTTTACAGAACTCAGAAAGCTGTGAAAATTTATTTTGTTGAACAGATCCTTATTACTTTAAAGTGCTACACTATTCTTGTTCTCCTGTTTTGTGAGAAAGCTGCTGAAATCAAAGAGAAAGCTGGCTGCTACTGGATCTAATTATTACAAATTACGTGGCAGTTGTTGCAGCAAGAGACAGGAAAAACAAATTAATATTTTTTTTAAAAAAAATTTGTGTTTAAGGCAAATCAAGTTTCCATGTTGCAAAGAAGAGTTGCTGGTGGCTACAACCTGATAATTTCAATTGGCTTTGCTCCATCAGCCACAAGGAAAACACCTGGCAAGCTGCTGCATCCCAGCCAAGCCTTGTTAACCTTTTGGCCTCCACAGTAACTATCAGCAGGCAGCGAGTCAGTGCTACTAATAAACTGGCATTAAAACTTCCACCTGCTAATAGCATCTTATTGCTTTTCAGGATTAAATAAAAGGAAATGAGCTGTTTAATTACAGTCAGAGAAATTTTGCAGTGTTGTTCTGCCTTGGATGGTGACAGCAATGCTGAAATGTGTTTAAGGACACGGCTATATGAACTGATGGCTTCAGAGGTAAGCCAGAATGGCTGTAACTATTCTATGTTAATTTTTGGCTTGTAGGAGGTGTGAAAGATCTTATTTTATATGAAAGTAAGATAAAGTGGGGACAGTCTTTTCCAAAACACATGTAGGCAGTTGTGAGCAAGGTTGTATTCATGGAAATTTTTTTCCCCTCCTTATTAATGGTCTCCTTAATTATTACACTTTATGAGGAATTCTTTGCTGGTTTTTAATTTGTTTGCTTGCCTCACTGCTAGCAAAAACCTCAGTTCTGGTTTTGGTTTTTTTTTTGTGCATCAATGAAGCAGGGGAGGGATATTACACTGTAGCCAATATTTTTATTCTATTAAGAGAGAGTTCTTCCATTCTGATTCTTCTGGAACATGTGGATCAGAAAAAGCAAACCTGGAGGACCAAAAATCTTGCCTGGCAGTCCCATGTGTAGGATGTAGGAGGATTTAATATGTTTGTCTGTTTCTTTGCTTCATTTTCCACTTCTTACCCTGATAACTTGATTATTTTCAGCCCAAGTCAGCTGGATTTTGAAGCAGCAGCGATGCACCGTAGCCCCCATGGAGGTTTGGATTTTGGTGTGTTTTGGGACAAGGAATGCAAATCCCACTTGCTAAATGGGAATAGCAGTGCCCTGCTGGAAGGGGGTTCATTTCCAGTGGGACCAGCTTTACAATGTGTTTCCAGCAGAAAGTGATTTGTACAACAGTGTTGCAAGCTGTCTGAGTTCCAACAATTCTAATAGCTTGAAATATGAATATCTATCAAAACTAAGATTATCCTTTTAAAAAGAGGACTACTGCAGCAGTGCTTTGCTTTTAAATAACAATTCCCACAACGTGTTCCCACCTCTCCTTCCTGGTGGAGAAATAAGGACTTGGAGGGAGGGGCTGTAAAGTCAAGGGAAACTCGATTCATGTCAGCTCCATTTGGGGAACTCTCATTTATTTCTCCTGTGAGCCTTGGCTGGGCTGTCAGCATCGTGCAGCCTTGCTGTGGTGAACTGTTGAGAGGCAGCACCTTCAAAGACAATAAATCTTTAAAAGGACAAAGGGAAGCATTAATGTTCTAATTTGCTGTGCTGTTTGAGTGTTTATTGTTCCCTGGTTTTCAGAGGAACTGGTGTTGGGAATGCTTATCCTGCTTTCAAAAAAAAAAAAAAAAGATATTTCTTAGCATCTTTTTTGATCAAAACATTGGCAGAGTGTGTTTCTGGTCAGTTTAAAAGTGACTTGTGAACTGCGTGGGCAGAGGAATAAAAGGCCACAATAAATTACATTGTATTTAACATTAAATTGTTGTGTGGCAACAGTTTCCAGTGAGACAGCTGCAAAGCAAAATGATTACGTGGTGCACACTTGCCTTTCTAAAGGCCAGCAGGTTATGATAGATGAGATAAGGAGAGTTTTGGGAATCTCAGATTTACAGGGGTAGCTGTGTGCCTGTAGCTTAATGAAGATTTTAATTGTTTTAATCAATGAAATGAGACATGCCACTCTGAAAAGTGTTCTGTGTGGTCTCTTAGAATGATGATTTTAGCACAAACACTTACAGAGCCTCAGGTCTGCACATTCTGACTGAACATTTTAGGACTTTGCACACTGGAGGAAATCAGCACCTTTAATCTGCACCTTTCTCATATTAATGTTTTTTTGTGGGGAAATTCCTAGGGTTTTTTCCCCCACAGTCAGGATTTCTGTTTCTGGCAGCAGCCTGTACCACACATATGCAGTCTCACAAAGACTGACTTCAGCTTTTGTGTCTGTCAAGCTCTACTCCCTCTTTACCTTCCTCTCTGACTCTTGTGTCCCTTCATCCCAGCTGGGACACAACTCCTTTTCTAGAGCTCCAATGAGAGACAGATTGTTTATTCTCTTTGTATGTTCCTGCCCTGCTGTTGCTAAAAGTAGGGCAAGACTTTGGAGAAAATACTAAGGTACAAATCCAAGTGGAGATTAAAGGAAATGAACTGTCTGCCTGTCACAAAAATCCTGGAGCTGTGGCTTTGGAGCATGAAAACAAAGGAATGCTATTTCATGTGTTGCTGGCATCTCCCATGTATTGTAGACTTCATTTTAGTGCTTTTTATGGCACAACTCCTGCACTGAGGAGTTTCTGCTTTTCTTTTTCTCTAGGAAAGAGAGTTATAGCTGGGGCTATTTTGGCTCTAGGGTCTGAGCATCTTTACTGGTGGAAATAAAAATGTGGGTACCCCAGAGCCTCCAACCAGACAGCTTCTTTTTGAAAAGCTGAGTGAGAACCTTTCCTCAAAAACTGTTTTTTTTCCTAACATGTATTTTTTTTTCCTTCTCAGTAATTAGAAACCAAATCTGTTGATGAAAGAAACTCTCTCCAGGATCCACACTTTTAATAGCAGTTCTGCCACTGAAGAGATGTGTTGATGGTGTCTTCAGGGTTTTGTTCCTCCCTTGGTGTGAAGGGAGATGCCAGTGGCCTGTTGAGATATGGATTTGGTCTCCTTAGAAAGTGCTCTTGCTTCAAAACCTGGTGGGGAGACCAGCAAACACGAATGAGGGAGTATTTCTGGGTTTTGTCAGGTAACCCATCAATAATCACTACACTACAGCATGCTCTAGCTTCCATTTACCCTGCATATTAAAGTATAAATGTTTTTTAAGTGAGCAGCAACTCTCTGAAAAGCTCACTGCCAGGGCAGTCCTCTCCTGGTTGGCATTACTAGTGGTCATCTTGCTTTCTGGTAGATTTTTTCAGTATTAGCAGCATTTTGCCAATCTGATCTCATGCTCTGGTGATTTATACCTCGCATTCAGGTCTGCAATTTTTCAGTGCACATCTAAACCCTCAGTGCATAGTTAGCACAGTGGGCCCTGCAGAGCAGGAGCTGTGTACCAGGGATGGAATTTAAAAGTTTGTAGTGCCTGGGACAGTCTTCACTGGTGGCATCTGAAAGGCAAATGCAGCTCCACTTTCTGTTTATTATTTTATTTCCAGCTGTGGAGAAGGGATAGACATCAAGGCAGAAAGGCTCCCAAGAATCTGAAGTGAACATGCACAGGCATGCTGGTGCATTAATATGTATTACAGGCACATGGTTTCCCTTGCAAATGGGAACATCTCTGCAAAGAGTGATAAGCCCTGGGTTCCTTTTCTGTGACACTGCCTATAATTGCTAGGGAAAAAATGGGCTTAAATTTAAAGTTCCTAGAGCACTGCTCAGTATCCACAGAGTGGATTTTCAGCACTATTTTTAGCCTGTTGCTTGCTGGGTTAGAATGCAAATAGCTGTGCTCACTCTGGAGCTGCAGAAGTCCACAGAGACAGAAGACAGGAGAGAAGTTGTGCCATCCCTCTGGTGCCTGTCCTCACTGAAGAGTTTTACAGTTTTCTCCTCTTCATTACTGCCCAATATTCAACCTGTTTGCTGCTACAGATCTTTTGGCTACTGCTGATAGTTTTGTATTAATAGAGTTAGACAATCTTCTTGTAAACACTGGTCCATCCAAAGTGAAATGAATGGGACCAGAGCTGCTGTTTGCCAGCAGAGAGATTATCCCTCAAGCAAAGAGCAGTCTTGGGCAGTGGGGTAAAAAAGACACACTTTTTCATAGTGGGATGCTCAATTAATGCCTGAGAAGCAGCTCTGAAGTGAAATGCGCTCCTAAATTATTTTTCCAAACCTGCTTAATTTCTTTAAATGATCTCAACAAATGACATAATGAATTGGCAAAATGAAAAGGGCCCTGTCACTTGCCACTCTGTCCAAACTGTAAGGTAGGAGCAACTGTCTGCATTATACTTGTCTGAAGAGATATATAGGAAATATATATAAAAGATATTAGTAGTACCCTTTTATTCCCATTGATCTCCCTCAGAACTTTGGTAGCAACCTAAAAACCTCATTTCTCGCATATTTCCTCTCAAATTAGGTTTTATTTTTGCTTGGCTACAATCTCACTTTTGCAAAAAAACCACAAAATCTTCAAAACTCTTCTAGACTAAAATAATGCTGGGGCAAACAACCATGGGTCAGTGAAATTTAGGGGTAGAAGTAGGGGGCCATATAAAGGCTCTGAGAACCTTAGAACAAGGGGAAGCCATCAGACAGCCAAAAAGTGGCGGTCATAAATTTTGTGTGCTGGATTGCACCTAAACATGCAGCTCCTTGATTTAAATTTCCTGCCATTGGCCAGCTGCTGCAATTCAGCATTTTGGGTGCATTTTGCTGCAGACAAAATGGGAAAGACTCTCTCTGCAGAGCCCTGTTTCCCTCAGGACAGTGTGTGGGTAAATCATTCAGGTTATTTCAGTTTATTTGGGATTGTAATTAAAGCCCACCAGCACACTTCCAGTTTGGTACTGATACACGAAGCACTTGTCCTCATTCTTGCAATAAATTTTATTTTCTTTGCAAACAGAATTTTAAGCATCATGGAACAGGAAACAATACTTGTTTCAATGTTTCAGTTGTAAGACGGAAGTCAGTTTAGATAAAAACTTCCAACTCCTGTGAATTTATCTGCAGAGTGGGTGATAATTTAATCTGGGGAAGAAAAATTTTTAGTGCTGTAAAATTTACAGTACTGGCTAATTTTAAGGCAGCACCATGGACTCATGGACATGGAATTAGTGAAATTCACTGACTCACAGTGTTTGCAATGTGCAGGTCATTTTCATATTTGTCAGGAGCCTAACACAAAATGATTTTTCCTTGTTGTGCTTTAGGATTCTGTGAGCTCATTCTTTAGATTACTCTGCTCCTCCACCTTTGTTTTGGCCCCTGCACACATCTAGGTTATAAAACCCCTTTTGCATAAGTTTCAAAGTCTCCTGAGTGCTCCAAGAAGCAACCCACCTTTTGGGCCCTCTGGACTCTATGAAACAGGAAAGAAGAAATCTGTGACAAGTTATAATAGTCAAGGTTAATTTTGAAGCAGTGTGTGTTCACTGCCTCTTAGGGGAGCATCTCACTGCTTTGCATGCTGCTTACTTCTTTCTGGAGCTGGAGAAATGCTGCTTAAAAGGATTAATTTGGCAGGCACTCCTGAGACTGTAGAAGGTAAACAACTGTTTCTTTTTTGTCAATATGGCAATTAAGGTCTGGGAGATTAAAGAAAAGAAAGTAAATGCAGTTTTGGCTCCTTCTGTCGACTGATGGCTTAGTGATCTTTTGAATGTTTAATGAAGTGCTTTGATGGTTCTGGAGTAGCAAAATCCAGATCAGATGTGAAAAATGGAAGAACAGTGAGCTGCAAAGTGGGGCTTATGTGATGCCCAGAACTGGGTTCTGTGTGGGGTTTCTTATGCTCGAGGTTGATGTATCAATTTTGGTAAAGGATACTTCCCATGCAAGGGGTGCTCCGAAGGTGTTCAGATGCCTGGAGATTTCTGCATTTGGCCTCTTTTGATGCCATCTTTACCAAAATCTTTGTCTAGTAATTAGTCTTGGGCTAAAGCAAGGAATCCTCCCCATGAAGGCAGCAAAATTGTTAAAAATATTTCTATGAATAGAACTGGGAATTTCAGAGTCACTGAAGGAGTCAGATGTGATGTTAAAGGTGATCTTTTAGCAGCCTTTAAAGCTGCTGGGACAGTTTCATTCTTAGATGCTTTGTTTACCTCAGCTGATACAAAATAGGCTTTAACATCCTCTGTGGGTATTTTCTCCTTGTCTCCCATTTTGGGCAGAACACTTATTACCTATCCTTAAGGGGGTGGCTCTCATGTCTCTTCAAATATATCTTCAGGGAATTAATTAAATTGTCTCTCTTAAAGTGGGTGGGCATTTAGAGGAGGTTTAATTTGAAATCAGAAATTAAAAAGGTCTGAAGTTAATTCAGAATGCTTTTTATATGACATTATACCTGGAGAAGCTGTCAGAATGTTACCTGTGTGTAGTGGGAGGACAGCTCTTATTTTAATCATTTTATTCCCCATTTTCCCACCCCCCCAGTGCTGTTCCTTCTGTTTTCAGTCCCAAATCTGTTGCTTTTCTTTGGAGTGGGAAAGAGGCGAACTTTTGAAGAAGCAGAGCAGCAGAAATCCAGGTTTTGACCAAGACCCTAATATATTCCTCAGGGAGCTCTTTGTGCCTTTATTTTGGCACTCCAATGCTTTTATAGTGGCAGTGCTGGCTTCAGGCCCTCTGTATCTTCTTCATGACAAATCCAGGGAGAAGTAAATGTGATTGCCTTTCTGGCTAAGTGAAGAGCTTTATCCATTCTGAATTGCCTCCCTTGACCTGTCCTGCTTTATCAAATTGAAGAGAACGTAAAGACAGCCACACTTCACTTGCTG